TTCACTTAGTAGTAGTAGTATTAGTTTCCATCAAAATACAATATTATAGCAAGTGTTTTTTCTGTACTCTTAGTGTAGCACTCTATCAACCAATTCTACATAACTCTTTCTCAAGTTAATAAAAATTGAGGAATTCCCCCAAATGAAAAATCTATAATTGTTCTCAGTCAAGATACATTTGTTCTGCTCCAAAACATTTATGATATTTATAGTGAGCAATATCAAAAAGAAAAACAGGTTACCATAATATGAGAATGTTTAAAATTTTTAGACTTGCAAGATGCATGCAGTTTTAAGGATTGGTCTATGCAGAATAGTATATACAATTTAAATTTTTAAAAAATTACAATACAAAGTCATCTACCCCTATTATGTCACACTCATTTTGAGTAATTATCACATTTTCTTTCAATTAAAGTAAAAAAAGTTCAAACATTAGATTCAACAAATAAAATACAGCGAAATGTTTTGAAATAAATGAGGAAAACAAATTTCAGTGTTCACCCATAATAAAGTAATACAACTGTATTACAGATTAAGTAGCTAAAAATAAAGAACATAAGGAAAAAATAAAGGAATCCACAGAATCCCTACATGAAAAACCTTTGCTAACAGTATGTGGAATAAAGATTTTTAGCTCATGTCTATTTTTGTTAGATGAAACTTGTAATTGAAGAGAAGTTGGTTTTGCTTTGTTTTCTTCTAATGCTGAAGACTGTTCAAAAAACAATGAACCTTCACCTACTTCGGTACAGTTCATGTTGCCACTTACTTTCAATGCATATATTGAACAGATTTTAACTATAGGGTTACTCACCTCTTGAAAATTATGCTGAGTGAATTTATCAGCAATTCTAAGAAGTTCACGGCAAGAATGAGTATCAGCAAATGCTCGAATGCCAAGGCAATTGGAAGGATCCAACTGTCTTTTCAGAAACTCACAGCAGGCTTCTTGGATCTCAGCTAGTTGGAGAAGGCAAGCAGCTGGCAGTAAGGTCTGAACATTGCCCTCTTCTACTGTAATTTGGGAAGTATATGCAAAGTCAATAAGTAGTTCCATGGCTCTTTCATCAATGTCTCTGATCACCACCTCAGTCTGCCGGCTTTCTGCAAGTTCTCCTGTGAACATTGCTCGAAAGTAGGGGCTGCAGGCTGATAGGATGACTCGATGGGCATAGATTTTTTTGGCCCCCACAACCAGCACCACATCACACAGCTCCCGGTGCTTACGCAACAAATTGATAACCTCCAATGTTTGGCGAGGGTGCTTGTCTGAGATGTAAGGCATGCGAGCAGGTTGTGGCACTCCTTCTGGTAGTTTGTTGGGATCTCCAAGAGTGCAACGGCTTGTTACATCCATTCCGGTTTCACCTGCTCGATTACTTGTACACCTAATAAAGTAGCAAAGCAGTGAGACCATTGGATAGAAAAGATTATACCAAAAACATGAAGTGGACAAGAATTTATTAAATTATAAAGGAAAGAAAAGTGTCATAAGAAACTTCATCCTGACAAGTTTTTGATAGAAGTAATTCAACAATGAAAAAACAGTAACATAGCTATTTATAGACCTCTTTATTAAAAGGGAAAGTGTACCTATTGTAGCTGGAAACAAAATGGATGTAATACCAGATTTTCTTGTAGAATCCAAAGAGCCAATGCTATGTGAAAACATTAAAAAGCCAAACAGAAATGAGCAATTTGGGCTATCAGAGTTCTTTCTTTTTAAAAAAGCTTCTAGTTTTTTTTCAAGACATTCAAACTTCAAAAAATATATCTATAATTAAGATGAGATGTATATTTTAATTATTGAATTTCCTTGATTTTTAACATAGAATCCAATACAACGGGAGGGAATCTGGGGACTGTTTTATAGTTATTTCACATTATTTCCAATGCTTGTAGAATTACTTGAAAATACAATACACTGATATTAATAGGACATAATATTGTTCAACTTTATGTACTATATCTTAACTTGTCAGAAAGTGCTTGAGTTGTCATCATCAAATTGAGCAGACGATAAACTGCTGTTTGATGGATACTTAGATTTCAATTAAAATATTTGTTTTCTGACTTGTATGTTTATAATTTGAAAAAGTAGAATTTGATTTAAAAAAATCTATTCATAACATCTCAAGTTAGAAAAAGACTAAGAAACAATATAAAACCAAAGTGGATCCATGGGATGTTTGCAATTTATAAAATGGTCAAAAAAAGAAACTAGTACAATGAGTATCCTTCCTCAAAAAGGAAAGTGACAGAGTTTTAATGGGCTCTCTAAATTTTCTGTAAAAAGAGAAGCAAATTTTTCCTGAACGCCCTATATAAATCAAAGTACAAAAAGACATGGGTAAGGGAAAAGAAGTCAAGATGTATCCATGGTTTATTTAACAATACATAGTGGCAATGTTTACATGCATCCCAAAGCCAAATATATTGCAGCTTTGTTCAATGTGTGACCCTGACACTTGGTATTTCTGATACCCGAAGTCAAAGTTGTTTTAAGTAAAATATTGTTGAATCAGCTACCCAGAAGGTAAATCAGGTGAGCTTTATTTAATGTTTTCTATATCTTATCCATTATCCTATTTTAGATAGCTGTTGCATATTCAAGTTTTAACCTCAGTAACTTAGATCAGATTACTAATTAAATGATGATTATTGTACATGAAGGCATGTAAATAGCTGTTAAGTTAAACCAATTATTATGCAGATACATAGGTAAGAATTAGTAAAAACCAACCTTTAAAGCAAACCTCGTGGATATTTCCCAGTATAATTTCTCATTTTATTCTTCCAGCATTTTAGTTCCCAATCTAGTTTACAGTCCAAGAATTCCCAGATGATCTCCCATCCGAGTACTAACCAGGCCTAACTTATTAGGTTCCAAGACCAAACAAGATTGACCAAATGCTGCCAACTATTAAATGACACAGATGCAAAATTTAAATTTAGAGGATACACAGAAGCATTTAAATGGGGATAGGCAACTTAATAATGCTTCTGCAGTCTCAAAAGTCATAACCAACTGTGAGAGATACTGACAGCTGTGATTCAAAAGCCATGAGAAGTTAGTTGTAGATCACTCATTTCTGCATCATTCTGTCTTTCCAAAATGCAGTGGCAACTGTAGTAGACCACTGTTCTCAGAGGAAAACAGGACAAATGAAAAGCTTTAAAGTACTGTTGTCTAATAGATACAGATTAACAGAATTGGAAGGTACATTGTAGGTCATCTAGTCCAACCCTGATCTAGATTCTGTACATTGATTATAAAACATAATTTAGTATGATGTCACAATTCAATCTACTTAAGTATTTTAATTACCTGCGCATTGGTTTTGTGTCCATGCACTGCAAAGAGAAGTCTTTAAATTATTGCTGACCCTGGGCAAAGAATAAAAACAAAACTATGTAACAAAAAGACAACTAAAATAGTTTGTTATATATTTAAGAACTGATCAGATTTAAACTCTAAGATAAGTATTGTTAACAATTTCCACCTATTCATATTTTTTCGCAACTGATTCTGCCACTACTGCAACTATACTAAATCTATGTTTAATTCTAGCTTTATCTTATATAAGCATAATTTAATCTGATGAACAGACACTGGACTGTGCATAAACAACTGGACTTTAAAACTGTATTCTAAAATAAAACTGTATACTTATTCCAACATATAAAACAAATATTTGTTCAGTTGTCATTATATGGATAAATCTGAAATTAAAAGGCAAGATTAATCACTCACCCTGTGATAAAACAGAGGTACAACAGAAGCCTAATAATCAATAATCCTTGCCTTCAACTCATTTTATCCACTGAAAACAGCAAGTTTGATGACCTTATCATCCAGATGCCTATAAATAAATTGCAAAGAATGTGAAATGGTTCCTCTAAAAAACCCATCATTGTTCTTGTCATCCGCATTGAAATAAATATTTGTTCACCTGGAATAGTTTAGATACCACATAACACTTCCAAAAGATGACACTGAACATCATCCTTAGTTTCAGAGAGCAAAGCACATACAAAGGGCTATCTAAATCAGTGAATATAACAGACTGGACATTGGATAAAAAAAGGCAGATGTATTTACCAACTCAAAATGAATGCTTCTTAATGCCTGCTTTTGATCCAAAAGATCTGTTATGCCAGTTGGGAGTCTCTCTGCCAGATATTGTTCATGCAATTACATTCATTCCCTCCCCCACAATCCCTCCCCAGCAAGTTAGGCACATGTCCAGTATTTCTTCTTGTACTTCATTGGAAGTTCATTCACTTAACTTTTTCCATCCCCCCAACAAGACCTTTAAAAAGATATGGGGCGTGGCCATTATCTTCACATGGTTGGTGAAGGGGTAAGTATGGAGCTCTACTGATGATAGCTGATAAATTACAGGAGCAAAGCAGAGATTTCCTTTTCAAAGTGGTATGCAACCAATACTGTTTCCCCGGAAAGTGATCAACTACTACACGATTTATTTAATAAATTTAAACACCACTATCCCGGAGATCTCCTGATCCTGCTTGAGGTACCTTGAAAAAAGGCAGCTATCTGGGGGAAAACAACTGTACATGACGTGGATCTGATTTATTTTTGCTGAGTGTTTCTAATGTTAAATTTCAGCATGCCCTTCAGCCCAGGGTCTCGCCCCATCTTTTCTCCCCAATGATTCTTTTACAGCCTCCCCAAAGCACAAGCACGGCCAACCCTGGAAACTGACCTCCCGGGTGGAAGATAATGGAGCTTATTCTGAATTCCAGCGGCAGCAAGCCCAGAAGCCGTTGCAAGGAAATGCCATGTATCGGCAGGGACTCTGCACAGTATCTTTTGTAGGGGGTGGGAGGAACGCAGGACCTTCCCGACCACCACAGCCGCAATCATTCCCACAGTTCTCACTGGTGCCGGAAACTGTCTCTAGGCAGCACTCCACCCCATCAGATTTCACCCGCCGGAAGTAATCCTACAGCCTTAGTGTTCCGTGTAAGTACTTCAAGTGTCGGTTTAAGCGTTCCGGCCATAGGGGTTTCTATGGCAACGGGGTTATTGCTTTTTTTTTTTTTTGGTGCTCTGTTCAGCAGCCCGGAAGTATCGGGGGACTCGGGAACCTCAGCGAGGTTCAGATTCTAATGCTGGTAAAGGTCATGCCCATTCACGCCATCGCTTTTGATTCAGTTTTTGTTTCACTGATGAGTGTACTGTATATATAATGATTCTGTACTCTATAATTTCAAAAATACGGTTGAAAATAATGTTGACTGGAAAAAAACAATCTGGTGAAGAGTATACTGATCTAACTGTTCTGGAAATGTTTTGGATAAAAAGATGAAGTTTTTTGTAGATGGAAATGATACTTTGAATCTGTACAAACCACACTCCATTCTGTTCTTTAAAATATTTTTCTTTTTTTAAAAAAATTAAGCTAATCTTGTGAAGATGGAACCCTTGGAAGAAATAGTGGCTTCAACAACAACAAATGAGCATGAGGATTTGGGACCTCAAGAGGAACCAGCAAATCCTCTCCTGAGGGCTGCTTTAAGGGGTGATATGGAAGAAGTACAACAGATTTTTGAGGACTTGGAGGATCCTGATCATGAAAAAGCAAATAAGTTTTTAATGGAAAAGGATCTTCTAGGGAGAAACTTACTATTTGCAACTTGTATGGTTGGTCAGAATGACATTATCCAATCCCTGGCAAAATATGGAGTTGACCTGAAGGATAAGACAGTCAGAGGTACATCATGGTCTAGATATTTTGAATTAAGCATCACTAAGATTCTAGGAAAAGATCCTTTTAAGAATTATGTCAGTTTATATTTTGAATTTGAAAACTGACTTAGTGCTTATAGTTATCTTTTCAGTTAGAGCTTTCTGAACTAAGCCTTTATTAGTCCTTCAACTCATTCTTCTTTCCTCCTCCTTTTCCCCCCCCTTTTATTCACTCATGTGTAATTCTGGGAGACTGCCTGGATCAGTCCCTGCAGTTTTGTTGGCAACGCTTTTTTAAAAATTGTTTTGCCATTGCCTTCTTCCTAGGACTGAGAGAAACAGACTACAGGTAGTTCTTGACAACCCTTAAAAATTAGGATGGTGCTGACAAAAGTGACTTTTGACATCCCCATGGCCGTGTGTTCAAAATTCAGGTTCTTGGCAACCGACATGTATTTATGATTTTGTACATTCTAGTAACAATTATGGTTGTAAGTCAAGGACTATCTATAGCACAATTCACCCAATTGGCTTTGTGCCTAAGGTGGGACTAGAACTTACAGTTTCCCAGTTTCTAACCTTATGCTTTAACCAGATTGGCTCTCTTTCATTCTCTATTTTTATCTACTGGTAATTTCAGCTTAACCACAATTTTCACTTGTGTTGTACCTTTTTTCTCCCACACAGATTCTCAAACCTTCACCACAGAATTTGCATATAGTCATCTTTAATTCCTGGTTTGGGAAATGCTAACTCTCTTTTTCTTTCCTTGGTTGTGAATCTACCATTTCTCTTTTTTTTGTATATATAAAGTTTTATTAAGGTTTATTACAGTGTAAAGTATAATGGAAGTCTTTAATCTTAAAGGAAAAATCTTTTTATTCATTTTAAGACTATAAACGTTTCTTTAAATATCTTAAATTTAGATATAAATATCAATATTTACAGTAGTTATGAGATATATTTATATTTATAACTAAAATCAATTTTATGTAGTTTTGTGGAGAGGAGATGGTCTCTGTCTGGCATAATTACCTCCTATGTTGCTTCCTTCTGTTCTTTACCTTTCTTTTGTGATCAAAGAATATTTTTTTAAAAAAGAAGCTTTTTGTAGGTCAACTGGTATCTCTTGGCCAATTCATTAAGACTGGAAGATTTCAGCCTCCCCAACAAGCAGTCCAAAAATGTAAATTATAAATTTCAATGTCAAATAAAGTGGCAAATTCATAAAAATGATGACATAAGACTATAATTTTTTAAAGTTTAAAGTTTAAATTTTTTATGTTTCTCCAAGAAAAAAGTACTTCCTTATTTTAGCTCACCTCTGGCAACCCTCCTCCTTCCCATTCAACATCAACAATAATGATATCCCCCAAATGGTTAGCTCTTCAAAAAGGAGTAACAAGCTGTTTCTGAAAAGAACCTGCTTTTACTTTTAATAATAATAAAAAAGTGTTTAAGAAATGAAAAGCATGACTCCTTGTCTGAAAAACAAATACCGAAATGGCAGCTTTTTCATCAACAAAGTGATTTTGACCCACCTTTTAGCTTATGGACTTCTCATCTGACTACCTGGGTGTGCTGCTCCAGTTTCTTTTCAAACTGCTGCTGCATGAAGGATATATGGGGTGATTCTGGGACTTTCTCTAATTCAGAAGAGTCATATAAAGTTAGGGAACTTGGTGCCCTTGTCTGTAAATTGAAAAAGCTTCAGTCCAGAAGGAGCATTCCAGACTGGTGAGTCTTCACTGGAAGTCTGAATATACCATTTCTATAGCTCCATGATCCTCCTAGAAACTGCCAGAATTCCCGGCCAGCATTTGCTTGGCTTCTTTCTCTCCACAGTCCATTAATTCATTAGCTCCCCTATAATGTTTCCACTGAGCAACTTCTTCAACCTAATTTTTCTGTCTGAAATACTTGTTTCTTCACTTTATTATTATTTTTTTGTAAATTTTATTTGAGTTTTCACAAAAAGAAAGAAATACAAATAAAACATCTTTTTTGAAAGCAGCATAATCCCAGGTTACATTTCTTTGTACAGACGCAAATTCAGGTTCATGCTCATTTTTATATTCTATTCCATATCTTATTACTATTTTACATTTTCTACATGGCTTCTCCCCTCTTTTAATTTTCTCAATTTTATTTTATTTATTTCATCTCAATTCAAATCATTATATTTATATTTTTATCTGTCCTGTTTCAATTGTCTATTATCTTTTCTCATTAAACAAAATTTCTCCTGTAGTTACTGATTGGAGTATGACGCCTTTATATCTTTCCCCTAAAGTTATAACACTCAATATAATACATAACTTCTGTTCGGATTCTGCTTGGTACATTCTTAAACTACACACAGTATTCTTGAAAAAAAATATATAAATGTATATAATTAGAACAACATTCCATTCCAATTCAATTCTATCATTAATATTAATATGCATTAAAGTCTTAACATTTTTCACATTACTTTTCAATTAAATATCATACTTCTATGGAAACAATTATAAACTTTCCATAGTTAAATCCCCCCCTTCACTTATATTTTATAAAACATTGACTAATTAAAATGTTCCCGTTCCTTCCTAATTCAATTTTCTCATTTATTTTATTTCATTTACTATATTCACAAACATTTCACTAAATTACACTAACTATTTTATTCCTCATTCTAATCATATGTTGTTTCCAATTTTCTAAAATTATTTCTATTACAAATATAACAATACAATCTTATGTACCTTTACAGAATCCCTTTTTCAGTTAGATTTTCACCCATTATCTCTAAATAGGTCCTGTTTCTTTATATCTTGCTCCAGACCTTTGTAACTTCTTTTCCTTTCCTTCTTCCCTCTCTTCTTCTCTCTCCCCTTTTTACCCCTTTGTCTCTCTACCTCTATTTCCCTCTTCTGTATTCCCCTTTTCTGTTGCTTTCCAGCATTATACTTATTTTTTTAATTATTTTTCTTTTCTTTGGTTGTTTTTTTTAAGTCTTAAATTCTCCATCCTCTTTCCCCGCTTTCCTTTTTCTTCCCTACATAGAGTTACTTGTTCATTAAAGATGGCTTCTTCTTTGTCCCAGTCTTCTTGTTTTGCAGTCTTTTCTTGTTGTTTCTCATAGTTCCAGATCTCCATTTCTAAGAATTGAAAAACGAAGCCAAAAGAACCCTTCCCTTCTTGTGCATCTTCTTTGTGCTTTTTAAGTTCCATTTTCAATTCATCCAAAAGTGATGCCATTGTAAAAATTTTTAAACAACCACCCAATTGATTTTAGTCATTCAAATATAATAACCAAAAATCCAAAAGTCACCAAGTAATCCAAATACACGCAAGCTGTTTCTTTTTGCTCTTTCTTTTTTTCCCCACTTTCTCTTCCTGGGGTTACTATTTAGTTGCAAAGTTTCAGTTAAAATGTATCTTTTAGAAGTCTTACTGAAATTTTACTTTAGATTCTTTTAAAATCCAGACAGTCTCTCCTCCCTCTTCCAGATCCTGCCCTTATTCTTTTTCTCTCCCTTCCTGCTTATAGAAGAAAAAGGTTTTAATGTCCAGAAATCTTTATTGTCCCTTTGGCATTTAGTTATATTTTCAGCTTAATTGCCTATTGATGCCAAAGCAGATTTTTCCAATTTCTTATTTAGGTCTCTTAGTTGTCAATATAAGGAAGGAGAGAGAAGGGGAAAAAAAGGCAAACCTTTCCCTTTTCACTTTCTTTCACTGCTTCCGACTCTTCTTTGGGAGCGATGTTATTTCTTGTAAAATTTAAATTCCAGGGTACCTTAGTTATTGCTTTTTCAACTTAGCCCGGTCAGCCAAAACTTTCACTTCTTATCTTCCTCCTGCATGTTCTTTTCCGGTTGAGTTCTTCTTTGAGGTGGCCATTTCTGACCACCGCTCCTACCACCTTCAGGAAAGGGAGTAATGGGCAGCTGAGGAGGAGAGATGCGGCTCTCCTCAACTCTGCTAGCGGTCTCCCCCCTCTTCACCATCTCTACGGGGTGGCTTAGCCCCGAAACCAGCTGGCTCGGGGCGCTCCAGCGGCGAGCCCAGGCAGAAACCGCACACGATCGCGGATTCCTGTCTGTCGCCGAAGCCCTTCAAACCATGTTTCTTCACTTTATTAAAGTCTACGTACCATTCTGAAAATTTTATTTCTCTATCAATCAAATGCATATATGCATTTTTGTAAAAACATATGAACAAGAATAGATGGTTAAAAATAAGCTGATAGTTTAAAGCAAGGGTCTTCAAACTTGGCAAGTTTAAGACTTGTGGACTTCAACTCCCAGAATTCCTGAGCTAACATGACTGGAGGAGGAATTCTGGGAGTTGAAGTCCACAAGTCTTAAAGCTGTGACGTTGGAAGACCTCTGGTTTAAAGCAATGTTTCTCCATCTTGACAACTTTAATATGCTTGAATTTCAACTCCCAGAATTTTCCAGCCAGCATGATGGAGGATGTCAAGATTGAGAAACATTAGCTTAAAGAGGTAATGTATTAATCTTTTGATTCTAAAGACTGAATTCACAGGCATCAGAGTTTTTACAGAAAATAGTTGGCAATTCTGTGGATATATATTGTTGAGATACATATGATTAGGTGAAAGTTTATGATAATCTTGGATTAGAGAATATTTGAAAATACTGAGTTGAAGGTTCGTTACAAAATTCAGTAATATGACAGTTAAACATGCATGAGAATAAAATAAATGCTTATTAAATAGTTTAACAGGGAACAGAGAATAAGATTATGAAGGCAGCTTTATTTAATATGTTAATGGTAAATGTATAAGGAATGCTTGTGAAGATACTCAGTATATGTTTGTTTGACACTATACATATGAAGGTACCTTTATACCTCATTTAGCATATTATTTCTTATTCCTTTTCTGTGCTTTGCATGTATGTTCTACATTATTTAAGCATTGAATCAGAATGGCATTCTGAAAATTGATTGACCACCTAGCATTAATCTGATTGTTTGCTAATGGGCAGTTGAATTTTCTTGTATATAAAGGAATACATTATGTAAAAAGTATTGCATACGGATATTCTGTGCACAGTCATGTATATTGATTTGGTTTGTTCTCTCAGGTTATACACTTCTTCATTGTGCTGCAGCCTGGGGTCAGTTAAACACACTGAAAACTCTGGTAGAGCTGGAAGCTGATATTTATGCAACTACATTCCGGGGTGAAAATGCTAGAGACATTGCAAATCGATATAAGCAAACAGAGTGTGCTGAATTCTTGGACTGGGCAGGTAATATTAATAACTGTTAAGCTTCTTTGAGATGTGGATTTAGCTTTACAGTACTCAGATCAACTGAATTCTGAACAAGTACAAATATCAAATATTTGTAGTATATCAATTATATAATAACAGTTATTTTCATGGAGCAATTTATGGAGAAGCTGTTTTCTATCTAGTATATTGTTGTTGTTTTTTAAGACAATTTCCCCAAATAGTTAATTTGTGCTGCAAGACATTAATGATAGGTCAATTCACATGAGGCTGTTTTAAAAATCGGAAAAAGTATATTAGGACATTGCATTTACTGTAGGTAGAAAGGCTAAATAGCTGTATTCTACAAATGAAAACTCATATACCAATAGTGTGCTAGACCACATAGAGCCATCTATTCAAATTTCATAGGAGAGAGACAGAAAGGAAAAAGCAGGAACCGAAACATCCTTTACAATACATGCAAAATAAAGTCAAGGAAGGAAAGTAAAAGCTCTTAGCAAAAGGAATCCCTATACTGTCTTTCACTACAGGCAGTCCTGGACTTACAACCCTTTGTTTAGTGACCGTTCAAAGTTACAACAGCAGTGAAAAAAAATGACATAACCATTTTTTTCACTTACAACCATTGCGCCATCTCTGGTCACAGCAGAACCATAATTCTGGCTTTGATCAACCAAAAGATGAACATGTGACCATATGGGTCATATTTGGGGATCTTTTAGGGTGAACCTTAGACATCACTCAGAACTTTAAACATCACTAAGTGACCAGTTGTAAGTCAAGTCAAGGACTTCCTGTAGTGATTCTTTTCTAATTCTTGATGATTTTCTCATTTTGTGAGAAGTGTCTGTACCTGTCCAGAACTCAAAGAAAGGATAATTTCTTATCAAGTGGTCTTCAGAGCCAGAAATTTAACTGATCACCATACAAGAGCATTAAAACAAAGCAGGTAAAACTGTCTTGAGGATGATCAGAGGAATGGGTTCAGAGGCTAAAGAGTAAAACAAAGGTATCTTTTCTTTTGATATTTGGGCAACTTACATAAGCTTGACTTTTAGCTACTGAACCACTCAGCCATCTTCTAATTCTTTTAGGATCACTTGCCTTTTGTCTGTTCTTTGCTTGCCTGTTTTCCCTGAGCAGAAATCATGTCAAGAGAAAGTTGGGAAGAAAGGATTTTTTTCCATCTTTTTTTTCTGTCACATAGAATTAAGTGTATCTGAAATCCAGCCAGCATAAAGAATGCTGATCTGCTGAAACAGCACTTTGCTTTCTGTGAAAAGGGAGCCTTTTATTAAAGATCAGTCCCAGTTTTATATAACAAAGGTAAGATCATATTGAAGACTCATTGCATTATCTACCAAATACAGTCTTTAATTATTCATACTGTAGATGCAAATCACTTTGGTTTGACTTTAAAACAACATTTAATAGCCCCTTTGTGTCTTCTTTAGTGCAATCCATAGTATTCTGCACAGAATCTAACTCTTGCCATCTTATTGGATTAGGTGCAACACGCCAAATATTCAGTAAGAGCTGAATATAGGAAGGAACAATTTTTGGGCGTATATATTATATGCTGTCTGCACTGGAGCTATGGTTGTGCAGACAAACTGGGAAAAGCTGTTCGTCTTCATCATATTCATCCTTTCTTATCTTTTTGTTTAATTTACGGTACTTGATTTCTTTTTTGTGATGATGGGTGACACGCTTCATGTATTTCATCATCTTGGAAGTGTTAGTCACTAACTGGTAGAGCATTTTGTTCATGTCGTGGCTGTAGTCGTCATTCACTTCTGTGACAACCGATACGGCTGTTGTCGGGTTCTCTGGCTGTCAAGTGGAAAAAAAATTGCAAGCATGTTAATGTTGTTTTAAACTTACACATGATAATATAGTGGAGATATTAGCATTAAAGTAAAAAAAGCTTCGTTTTTATATCAGGAAAGTAGTTTTGTTTTGGATTTTTGCCTAATCACCAAGGTTCCCTCTCTCCAATATGCTTCTCATTGTCTTGAATTGTTTTGATTTTCTGACATAAAAATATCTGTTCCTTGTCTTTAGTCACGCGTGCACACACACACACACACACACACACACACACACACACACATACATACGTACATACATACATACATACATACACTGTACATATATTGTGGAGAACCAGATATGCGAAGACCAATCCAATAGCATTCCCACTAAATCTGCTTCAGATAACTGGAGGACAGATGTTGGGGATGTGAACCAGATGAAATAATTACATCATCAGCAGACTGCATTATTTTTATTTGATAGGATTCTGAGTTAGGGATAGGGAATGAAAGTTAGAGGTCGGGAAATGGTATAATTGGGAAAGGATGAAACATCCTCTTCATTGCACAACTGGTATCCAAATCTTACCTTTATGCTTTTTGTCAGTTTCAGTTTGGGTAAAAGGAAGTGTACAGCTAAAGCTATAGCTATGACAAGTGCCACTTTGTAACTAGCATATAATACTTCTAGGCACCCTTTAGATAGTCCTATGCCAGTAAAACACTGGTATATGCGACATATTGAGTTATGAAAAAGGATAGATTGCTCTTTAGTCACCAATTCCAGATCCTGTGGAGTCATTTCCCAAGCAACCCTTGTCCAGGCTGGTCGTTCACAAAAACCAAGAACATCTTGCATCAAGAAGATAGTCCACAAAAGGAAAATCTGGAAAGAATGATGCAGAAACATTTTATGCTATTTTCAGGCAAAAATGTCTCTATGTAATGGATGTTCCTTGTGTAGGAGTTGCAGCAACTGGCCTTTGAGATTCATTATGGATTGCCACAAAAGAATCTTAGTCAAATAAATCCTTCCATGATAACCAAGCTTCCTGCTTGGGCATTAGAGAGATTTGAATGTGGTAATATTAGCCCATCAGGTGTAAGAAGATTCTGTGATGTCATAAAGGAGCTCCAGATCTTATAGGAAAGTGTCTATGAAGTCAATAAGAACTGAAGGAAATTGTTTCATAGTAAAGAAACGTAAGGCAAAAAATACAAAATTTCTAAAATTGGAAATACCTTCCTACTCTTAAATGTACAATTATCAAATTATTAGCTGTAGACATGTCTTGTCCCTCGTTCCAGTACCATTATCAACACAAAATGCATATCATATAATTATTTATATATCTTTTTTCCTGTTGATTCTTGCATTTCCTTATCCATGTTGGGAATAGACCTGTCATACTTGTTCATTTAAAAATGCCATTTTTACAGTTGATATCAGATAAATAGTACTGTCAACTTGAAAAATCTGGCTAATCAATGCCATTCCTTAGGGAAGAAGGTAAGGTGTGTTATTTAATGAAAATGCATCCAGATGCTATGAAAAAACCTCAGCCTGCATCTGAAATAATGAGAAAATTAATAGTAATATAGAGATATTTGAAAACCTTACTATATTTTGTACTAAAAATTCCCATGTTTAAACATACACAATGCATTTCCTAATTCTGAATAAGGCATTTCTAAAAATCATATCCTAGAGTGAATATTTACTAAAAATCATTGATAAATGTCATTTTATTAATAATAAGTTGTTATTTTCTGAGTGTAATAAATTGTTTTGGAGTGTAAGCTACTTTAATTGTAATAGAAAAAATTAAATTCGATAAAATTTTAACATAGAAAGATGTTATAGAAATTCTTTAAATGATTATGCTAAGTATCTTCCCCAAAGCAGTATAAACATCACTTGAGGTTTTATTAATTTTGCTGCTCAGATGATACCCTTGCATTATATTGGTTAGATGGTGAAGGGAGAAGACACACCTCCCATGATTTATACATACCTTGGGGTATATATAAAGGAAAGAGAGGGGGTGAAGAATAGAAATTAAATTCTATAGTATCTTTGCTATCCTATACTTCTTGCTCATTATACTAACTACCAGGACGTGGCCCGTTTACATGACCAATTTCCTTCTATTTGGTATATATCAGGTATAAATAACCAGACATTTGATGGGATTCATGCATTCATTGAAGTCATGGACATTTGGACTTATAAAGGAAGGGAAGGATGTATGGAAGCATAAAAGAAAAATCCATAAATGGGGTCATGATATAACATTTGTAACTCTCTGTCCTGAGACCTTAAGGGAAGTAGATTATTTATACATTCTGATAGATTGCCGATGTTATCATGTCTACAAGGAAACCTAGATAATGAGATTACAGCAAAAGGAAATTTACCATTTTGAAGTTATGCAGAAGTAAAAAAAAAACAGCAGGAAAGACATTGGTTGACATTGCAAATACAATTAGAGACAATTCAACAGGAGAAAGGCAGACAAGCAGCAATAATGCATGTGCATTCTTGTCAGCTCCTTTAAAAAAAAATCAATATTAAATGGTAGAGACAGTTTTCATCAAGATTACTGCAGAGTGAAGGCAGTTTAATCTTTCACTTTTGGCTGTGTTCCCAATCAAAATATACCCTCCAACAATTGCTTTTTTCCTAGAAACATCTCATATAATTTACTCTAAAATGGATTGCTCACTAGGAACAACGGGAAAAAATGAAAAATCATGAAGATGCACAAAATCTAGTTCAGCTTCAGCTGTGATAGACTTGCTGTCATACAGTATGGCAGCATTTCTTGGATATTCTTATGTTTCTTTATTCTCTTTCTTTTCAGAGGCCAAGCAGAATTTACGCAATTTAATTTCCCAAATTCAGGCAACAATCACTGATCCTGAGAAAGTTCAGGGAAAACTAAATAAAGAAGATAAGGTATATTATTTAATAATAATTAATTATAGGTTTATGTTATGGTGAGTTTCAATTTGGCTAGTATAATCTAAGGCTGATCCAAATGAGTGGTATGTTTGGTATAATTAAAAATACATGTTTAATGCCAAAACATATTTGATAGTTACTGACTCATGGCTACTGATAACTTCTGATGATCCTATTGATGATCCTATAAAAGTATTATAGGGTCATCAGAAGTTTTATTTCCAATGTCAAACTACTACTTCAGTCTTTTGCAAGGACTAAGTAGGAAGAAATGTCACATGATATAGGGGACCTTTAGCTAACATTGCCATTTCCAAATCTCTTTAAATCAAGATTTATTGGTGACTATAGGTAACATATATTCTGAACAATTAATTGTTATATATAGCATTTTCGTAAACCACACATGGCTTTTAAAATACAATAAAAAAGAACAAATTGTAGTAAAAATATTATCTACATTGTTTCACACAAATAAATAGCCTGGAACTAATTGATTATAGTTTCATATATTAATTTCATAGATATTTAAAAGTGAATATATGAACAAATACTTCTTTATATTGGAATATCTCTAGGAAGTTCAGTATTTGACTACCAAATTTTTGTATCTGAATTTATGCATGGAAATTTAGAAACATATTTAATACAATTTTGTAACTATTAACTATTTCCCAAATGTTTCTTTCAAATACATCATATATCCTAGCCTTTGCTACTTGTCTGCCAAAAGAGTGGCAGAACAAATATGCTAACAATGTCACACTTTTATTGCACTGTTTTTGTTTGAAATTTCTCATGAAGCCTAATATGTATAAATATTTTAAGATGTAAAATAATTTCCATTCTCTGAAATCATTCAAAAGTTACTATACCTTACATGTCTACATTTTGGCTAGATTACCTCTAGTGCTGGTTGCTAAAATGCTTTTTTCTTTGCCTATACTCTTGTTTATTCTTTGTGTAGACAACCTCCATCAAGGCCTGTCAGGCCAAGTTGGACTGGCTTGAAAATACAAAAGAGCCTAATACACAAGACTTTATTGATCAGAAGCAGCAGTTGGAGGACATAATGCTTCCTATCTTCACTAAATTGGCTGCACCACGTGAGTATTTTAAAGCTTATTTTTGGATAAAAGAATTCTCACATTTTTAGTTACTATTTTATTTTTCAGGAGGTGTTTTCTGCTGTCCTATGCTAGGTGTTGAATCTTTGCATAATCCAGAATAAATTTCTTTTAAGAGATTTACCTCTACTGTTTCTTCTAACTTAATTAAGTTTACGGAAAACCTCACTCCTTCCAATTCATTCTAGGTCCATGATGGGGGAAGTGGCAAGCAGAGCCATCTCTCTGGGCATGCCAGCCGTCGCCTGTTACTCTTCCGGGTTCTGGTGTGCATATGTGTGCTGGCTAGCATGCAGTTTCCGGTGTGTGCATGCAAACTGGCTAGTTGATCTGTGCGCGTGCATGCCTGCCAGAAACCGGAAGCTCAGCTTCACAGTGCGCACATGCATGCCGGGGAGCTGCTTTTCCGGTTTCCGGCATTCCCCCGTACACACGCATGCCCTTCCATTTCGACACTCAGTGCCAAAAAGGTTCACCAACACTGTTCTAGGTTTTCCAGTGCCCCATCAAATAACAAATCTATGGTGGTCCTTGCATACCAACCACAACTGGATCCAGTCACTCTATCACTAAGCAAAACATTATGTGACCATGTTGGACTGTTGGACTTGTTTCTTCCACTGTGGTTAAACTGATTACTGCAGGTCATTAAACGAGACATAATGTGACCATATCTTGTCATTTCACTTTGCATTTGCTTGTTGGAAAGCATCCAAATTTCGATCACATGATAGCTGAGATGGTACAGTTGTCATAAGTGCAAGGAGTGGCCATAAAGTTATTTTGCCAGTGCCAAAGTACTTCAAACAGTTGCTAAATAGGCCTGTTAACAGGTTTTTCTGGTCTTTGGTTTTTGACAAACATGTCTTCAGAAATTTTTGGCAAATAACTCTAATTTTGCCTCATCATTGTTTAGAAGTCTGGTCTTTGTCTAGATCTACAGCAAACTTTATACCTGCCCTGATATTATTTCTGGAGAGCAAGGGTTTCTTCCTGGTACACCCCCCCGCCACATAGATCCAATTTACACCACTTCTTTCCAATGGTAGACTCATGGACTTTGACATCAGTAGTAACAAGATCTACCTGTAGAGCTTGTGATGAAATTCTGGCGTTCTTACAGACTTCTTTTAGCCTGGCCAAGTTGGCAGTTGTTTGAAATCTTTCACACTTGGCAGTTGATTTTCTAAACAGTGGAATGATTATTAATTGTTTGGCAATCTTTTTAAATCCCTTCCCAGATTCGGAAGGTCTCAGAGAGCTCTTTTCAGTTTAGGCATGGTGATACCATCCCCTTTCAACAACAAAGAGCAAAACATGTTTGAGGTTTCAATAGCAATAGCACTTAAGACTTATATCCTGCTTCATAGAGCTTTACAGCGCTAAGGATTAGCATATTACCACCAACAATCTGGGTTCTCATTTTATCAACCTCAGAAGAATAGAAAGCTGAGTCAACTTTGAGTTGGTCAGAATCAAATTCCTGGAGTGAGCAGTGAATTAACCTGCAGTACTGCATTCTAACCATTGTGCTTCTATGGCTCTTTAGCACTTGAAGGTTTGAATATGGAGAACTTTGTTGTATTTCTTAAGGGGAAATTTTAAATCTAAATAGGGGAGTTCAAATTGATTTCTGTGAATCAAAGTTATTTCCCTTATTCTACACAAAATATCTTTGATCATTAATTGAAATGTCATGCATTAGATTTCTACTCATAAAAAGAGTTCTCTACTTCGAAGTAAGGCAAAATTATTTCTGTCCCTCTAGGTTTGTTTCAGCATAATTACATGGATTTACAAGCAGTTTCCAACTCTATACATTCCACTATTTTCAAATTTCCCCCAAGAATCAGGATTGTAATAAATGCATCTTTTAAATATACATGTGTATATTGCATAGCTGGTTGTGGTAAATGTGTGCATTTTCCCTCGTGTGTCAGAAATTTGTTTTACTTATGTGGAATTCTTAAAATTACAAAATACTATACCCTCTTCTCCATTTGGTAAGAAATACAGCAATGCAATAAACAACCCCACCAGCCATTGGTCTCAGTTCAATGTTCCACTACTTGTCACCAAGACGTACTTAGCTTTTACTGCCCACAATCTCCTCCAAGCCAGCAAGCACAAATCTTCATCACTAATGCTCCTGAAACATTAATCCAGTCACTGCCACTATAGACTGCTTGCCTCATCAGCCATATCCACTAAGAGTTCATCATTGCATTATTTTGAGTTGTTCATACAGCTGCAGTCTCTTTCAACCCACATTCACTCCATGCCTGCTGGCAATTTTGGAACTAAACAGAGGATACAATAGCAATAGTACAATGCTGTCTCAACCATCTCAACAGAAACATGGGCAATTTTGGGATGGAATATATTCAACCACCCAATGGCAGAACATTGTCTAGCAAGTGATATGAGATGGAATGAATATTAAAATAGGGAGGCTATTTATTTATATCCCATCTTTATTATTTTTAAATAACTCAAGGCAACAAACATATCCAACACACCTTCCTCCTCCTTCTGTCCCCACAAAAACAATACTGTGAGGTGAATTGGGCTAAGAGAGAGAGAGAGTGATTGGCCCAAAGTCACCCAGGTGGCTTTCACAGCCAAGAGTCTACTTAATCTGAAGGGTCTACTACAAAGGTTTCATTATCATGTGAGAAACTTTACTGTTATATCTCTATAAATCAAAAACGACACACTGCTTAATTTTGAGATAATGCTGTCAAATCCCATGAACATCAAGAATAGAAGTGAGAGCCCTCAGCAATTTAAATCTGAAACTCTGCTTCCCTACAAAAATGAAGTATCACCAGGGCCCAAACGAACTAAACATTTTCACATAAGGATTAAAATAACCAAGTCATTAGCATTGAGGTAGAATACTCTATGCTTTTTCTAGATGTGGAAGGCAAAACCTTTTTTAGAAAGAATTTGAATGATATCCTGCATAAATTACAGTGTTGACATATTTAAGAATGAGTGAACAGTAACACAAATATTTTAACTTGATTTATTTTCTGAACCAGCTAAATAAAATATGTTATCTTTGTTAAACCTATTCCATACCTCCGCCTTAATCATTCACAAAATGAATTAAGCTTTTAATTAATACAATGGATTAAAATGAAAGTCCTAAATACAAGTAATAGTTTATTCAATTTATTTTGTAAAATGAATCCAAGAACCTTCATTTCTGATAAGGCAAGGTGAATTTTTTTTACATGACAGAAATTGATTCCCATTAATGAAAAAATATTAATCTCTTCATGAATTACGTTTTTATGTGGCTGGAGAATAGAAAATACATTAAAGAAAAATCTACTGTTTTAAAAATGATAGATTCAATTCCAAGAAGAAGGTAAGAGGAAAACTGATTACATTTGAACAAACCAAGCCTAAACTGATTAGTTGAAGCTGTAAGCCACACCAGTCACTGGATTAAAAGAAATTAATACTTTGCTTCCCTTTTGCAACAGCCTCTCAAGGTACATTTCCACACATTTAAATCAACCAGTCCTGCAAAGTCCCAGTGATAGCATTCTGTTCATATGATTTCTCTTCACAATTGCTATGGAGAGGTATAACGAAGGTAATTCTTGCCCGATGGAAGTTGCTTAGTGCAAATCCCTCCTGGAAACAGCTTTTTGGCTTCTTCATCTGATACGCTTGGAACAACCATGACCTGGTCTCCAGACTCACAAGGAAAGGAAAAGAAAATTAGTAATAATTTTACTAATTATTCTTATTTGAATAGCCTAGAATTTTCAATCAATGAATCAGACTGCATATATGAAACACATACTACCATCTTTCTAGACATATATTACTGAAGCTGGATTGTATATGTTACTTGTATGTTCTGCATTTCAAATTATGCTAAACATTTCTACAGCTGAAATATCTAATATTCTTCATGTTGACAAAATAGTGATTATGCATACATCTAAGACTAGAATTTAGTTTTGTGCCTCTTCATATCACCTCAATTCAAAGCAAGAGAAATATTTCAAGCATCTTGTTAAAACTATCTGTACTGGAAATACAAAGTTAAAAAGTGCCTGCCAAAGAGCTATTGCTACGAACTTCTATAAAAACAATCTCTAGCTAAATAAAGGCTACTTTTTTCTCATATTACTTTATGATATTTAAAATAATTTACAAAGTAAGTGCTCTGTATGTACAAAGAAACAGACAACATAGGGAACATTCCCACCCTCCATGAACCATATTGCCAAATTGGAATATTCTTCCACAAATATTCAAAACACTTCTCATGGAATTTTCCAAACAGAAATAAAATGTATCAAGATTTCACAAGGTTTCTTGAACATTTTTTCTCCTTCCCCTCTGAAAAAGGCATTTTCAGCTGATGAACTTATGGCCATTATAGAACCTGCATTATGAAATCCATATTTCAGCTTTTAAATAGGTTTGAAAAAAATAAATTTATCAATGCGGCAAATTCAGCTTTCCCTAATTCATAAATCTACCCCAAATGTTTTAATGTGCAACAGAAAATATTAATGGAAATGCTGATAAAAAATTCTGAACCTATACTGGAATACACTTGTAAGAAATTGAAGATAGTTTATAAGAGATTATGACTGGAGAGCCCAAACAATTGATTATAGGGCTGTCATAGATATATCTATAATTTTTAAAAATACCTTCAGGACCAGGAACCCTTCCATTTAGGAAGGAGGGTAACAATTTACAACACTAAATTTAGTACAACACTAAACTGTACTTTCAAGAGATATTTCTCTGATAACTTCATGAAGGTCATTATACAATCTATTTGAATATTGTTGTATTTAGCAATATATAGGAAAATCTGTTTCTTCAATAATTTTCACTGTATCTGAATAATACTTTAGATAAAATGGATTTATATAAGTAAACATCTACCTTCCAGTCAACAGGTGTAGCAACTTTCTTAACTGCTGTTAATTGCAAGGAGTCAACAACTCTTAAAATCTCATCAAAGTTTCTGCCAGTGGTTGCTGGGTAGAGGATAGAGAGTTTCAGTTTCTTATCTGGGCCAAAAATGAATACCTATAGGGCAAAGTTACAGAATTGTAAATAAAACAAATTATCACATATTATCACATCACTGTTGTATAAATCATCCATTTCTTGCCAATCTTTTGTGGAATTATATAATTCTTCAACTATTTAGTGTTACATTTTTCCTATGACAAATAACCAGTGCATGGGGGGGCAATGTATTTAATAAAATGTAATTCTTGGATAGGAATTTCCCACATAGCCTTTAAGGCTAAGTTCTTATCCAAAATCATTTATTGAGTATTTGTAATCCTGAACCTGGCACAATTGTAATAAGTTTTATCATTAAAATGGGAAATATTTATATGAGATTACAACTGTTGTGTACAAAAGAAATTTGAGAACTTTTCTGTGCAACTAAATATCATAATTGAAAGATTAGAGGAGAATCTACCTGTCAACATATTTTGAGTTAGTCACAAATGGAGGTCGACAACTATGATTTATTACTCTTCTCAGTTCCTGGAATCTATTTTATAGAATTGAGTTACTAAATAATATTACATGTTAGTCTAATTTTATTATTTCATAACCCATTCCATTCTGATTAGATATGTCAGCAATTTTCTTTCTTGCAGACATGCTTATTGGCTACATGGAGAGAACTGATGGACCACAGGCTTCTCATTTGGTTAAATAATAACAGATAAACAGAAATAAGGCAATAAATAGTACATAAGCAACTGAGAAAGTTGCAGCGTGCAAAAAAGCAATGTTAAAAGGGCAATGTATAGATATTTACCACACGAGCAGTCAAAGGCATTCCATCTTTGCCTATCTCATCTGGATCCAGCATGCCAAGTTGGACTGAAAGTTCCCGTTTTAAATCAGCAATTATTGGAAAAGGGAGTTTATCAATAGGCTTGTCACCGTTGTAGGCATTGATGTCCTGCAAAAGGGGAACATTTAATGTTGTATTGCAAATTTGTTCAATTACAATTAGTACGAAGTCAACTCTGAACAAAAACATGCTCTTTCGTTGGAGAGCCCCAATTATTACAATTAGGGGCTGAAGCTGCCTTGGAGGGGCGGCGGAGTAAGGGGAAGCCGCAAGCCAGGTTGAGGGGAGCTGCATCTCCCCCCCCCAGGCTTGGTCTTTTCCCCCCCAAAGACTGCAGCGGTAGTTTAAAATGGCCACCCCGAAGAGGGCTCAGCTGGATTAAGCTTTGTGCAGGAGGGAAGAAAGAGGTGGATAACATCTGAACCGGGACAACTGGGCAATACAACTAAACAAAAGTACCCTGGGATTAAGGTAACATGGAATTTTTAAGAAAAGAAAAGTGAGCGGCGAAATTACAAAGGGACAGGAAAAAAAATAAGAAAATATTTTTGACAGCTAAGCGGGGCTTCGAACCGGGAAAGGAAGAAGCCGGAACTAAAGATTTAACTAAATTGGACTAAAATATTTTGTCAATAAACAGGGATAAAATAAAGCTGGACTTAAGATTATCAAAAAATAATAATAATAAAGTTTACAAATTGGAGACTGAACTGGGCTGGAATATTGAGGTTTGAAAAACCCTAAACAAAAATATAGGGGGAAAAGGTGAAGACTTTGTATAATGGAGAGTGCCACCTTTTGACAAAAATTTGAGCTCAAATAAAAGGGAAAGCATCCTGTTTCTGAATGAACTTGTGTTGATATAACATTAAAGAAATACTGAAACAAAGTAAGAATCTTAGAAAGTGAAAGCAGAACCAGAATAAAGAAAAAAGAAAGGAAAGACTGACTGTGGGATTGATTGATGTTTTTGGTATAGACCCTGGGCTGGAATAATTGAGAACTTTAGAAAATTGAAAGAAGAAAGAAGGAAAGTAAAAGTGTTTTTTTGTGTGGACCTTAACGATCATAAAATACAAGAGTGTGTAATGATGATATCTTTTCGGGAATTAAAACTGGAACTTAAAAATATGAGAGAATTATGACAGGAAAGAGGCGAAATCACTTTGCTCTGTGTTAGAAAAAAATGGAAATGGTGATTTAAGAACAAGAAGAAAGAGCTTCAGAGGAGGAGGAGTTGATTCAAGGAGAAGACATTTTAAATAGACAATTAACACAAAGAACACAAAGAAGTGGGAAAAGAAGGAAGGTTAAAAAGTTGAGATTTAAGAAGGCAATCAAAAGGGGGAATACCTGTGAAGTCGGGAAAGGCAAAAAAGAAAGACCAGCAGAAAAGAGGAAAGGAAGATATTAAGAAAGGGAGGGATATAAACTGGAATGAGAAAAGATATGGGGAAAAGAAGGGGAGGAGAAGCAGTAAGAAACAGGTGCATGAAATAAAGAAATACGGAAATAGTAAAACGTTGAAAAGAAATTGTTTTTTCAGAGATAATGGTTGATGAATTAAAAAGGAGATTCTGCAGGGTGACAAGGGGTAATAGGAATATTTCTGCAATTCAAATATTTAGAAAATAGGGTAATATAGATACTGATAACGTCTATTAAAAATTAAGGGGGGAAAATATGCTGCGGAATCCAAATGAAAAGATGTAATGATTATTATTGTAACTTCTTAAAAATAATGGTTTATTGGAAATCAAGATGGGGGAATAAAGGTATATTTTAATCACTGAGGTGTCATACTCAAAGCAGTAAAAGGGGAAACCTATACTTGTTTTTTTTTTCTTTAGTGTTAAAATTTGTATTAATCTAGAATTTATAAAAAGAATGTGTAATGGAAAGGGAATATGACAGACTAAAGAACCAACTAAATTAATAAATTAATATAGACTATTAAAGCAAGGAGAGACATTGGTAACCTTTTTATTATTATCATTATTATTTTTAGGCAAATACATATCATTTATCTTTATTTTTAAAATAAATATTAAAGGATTATATTTGAAATAATTGAAATGAAACCAAAATATGTTTCGATTGAGATTAATGAAAGAGGCTAGAATGTTTGTTTCTCTCCTTACTGAAAATTTGGAATGGAAAAGGTAATAATAGAATTAAGTATGCATATATGAATGTATAATTGCTATCATATTTGTATGTAAAGGTGATGACCCGGAAATATGTTGTCCACTAAAAAGAGATTTTTGTTTTTAATGTGAAAAACTGAATAAAATTTGTTTTAAAAAAGACTTTGTTATTAGAAGCCTTCCATTATGATTTAAAAAATGATCAAAACACTCAAAACTATTTCAGCCAGAATAAACCAAATAAATAAAACGGTTTAATTTTTTAAAAAGCAAAATGCTGCAAAGAGGCAGCCTACTGTTTGAAACATATTCTATTTATATAGATTTTGGTACTGATGGAAAAAATATGAAAAGTCACACTCAAAACAGGGAAACTACGATTTGCAACTGTGCATCCATTTGAGACTAGCAATTTCTTCTGTGAAGTACTGGCTCACCACAGAAGTAACTTGCTCATACAAGAAGTCAACCATTAGCTTCCTTACTGCAATGGCATGCCTAGTTTTTTTGCACAAGATGTAAAGCAGAGAAGTGGAAAATTTAGGGCCCTAGGGCCACAGTTTTAGTTAGGCAACTAGGTAGTGGTAACATACTGCCAGCAGAAGGAAGATTAAGAGCCAGAGACAAAAATAAATTAGAAATATTTTCCATCAGTCTGGAGACAATGCTGGCATATTTTATAATTAATCTATATATAATTTATGATTAATACAGGTGGACAAGACCCTGTTGTCAGCAAAAAAACCTGAATGATTTTGGTAAGTGAAATTTTGATCTATATGTAGGTTATAAAGTACATCTGGCCAAATTAAAAAAAAGGAGGAGACAATCAGGAAACTTCTGGGCAGAAATACTTCCTGGGAAAAGGTAATGTCAAATTTCTATATTGTTATAGGTAGTCCTCAACTTACAACTTTAACAGAGGCTTATTACAATCAGAAGTTGTAATGACCATATAGTGGATTGTCAACTAACTGGCCCATTTTTATGACCATTTTTTTTGCAATGGTCATTAAACAAATCACAATGGTTATGTGAATCTACAGTTGTTAAGCATATTATGTCATGAAGTGAAACAATAGTTCTCTTTGGGGCATTTTGCTGAAAACTGGATGCAAACATGGGTTTTCAGCAAAGTTGTAAATTATGGTTACATGACTAAGGGGTGCTGGAAATGGCCATGAATGTGGGCAGACTGCCAGGGGTCCAAAATGTGGTCATGTGATCATATGAGGAGGGACTGGCCATCAAAACTGGGTCATAAGTATCTTTTAGGAGGTCCATTGTAACTTTGAAAAGTAGCTAAATGATTTCAAATCAAAGGAGTATGAGTACATGGGCTCCCTATAATCAGCAGGAACCAAACTCAATCCAAGAAGTTACTTTACATACTTCCATGAATTCTTCTCAAATGTCCCATTATCTAGAGTGCAAGGTTGAATCCAATGGCTGGAGCACAATATGAAGAATCAGATATTATTTTAATTACCTACTAAATGTACTAAGCAGATGTGCACAAAGTAATTCAAATAAAAAAGGTACGGTAGGCAGTAGCAGATATGACAAAATAAGTATACTTTTATGTGTTTGGGGGAAGGGAAACAAACAAAACCAGTTATCATGGATGGGGCTACTGAACATTGTTGTGTTTTCTCATTTAATAATTTGTCTAAACTTTATAAATTCTAAGATTTTAATTAAATAACATCAGCTTTTTGAATGCGGCTTTTTATGCATGATTTTAACTGAAAGTCCAATTTACATGTATAATTTATTGATCTGCAGCTACAGCTTTATAAAGTCAAATTTGCATGCTAGTATTTTGTGCATATGAAACAATGATTTCTAAATTTTAGCATCTCTTTAAAAAAATCCTATATACAAATAATTAAGTTACTCCACCCAACACAGGGAACATTGTGAGATTCCTTTGAACAGTCAACCTACTCGCTTACCCACTATGTATTAAAAAAAGACAAGCAATTTTTATTTTCCTTTCTTAGAAATCAGAGTGGACTTTTTATTTTAGTAAGTTTCATGAACTGTTTCAAGCAGTGCATAGGCAATGTGCTCTCTAAAAGGGAATTGTTTTTCAACTATCTGGAAAAACAGCTGAACAATAATTTTTAAAAATCTGTAAACAGCAGCAGCATAACAGTAGTATAATCTGATGTTACTAAATAATATTTTCAATAGATCTACTAAAAGTTTTACATTGCTGCTCTTCGGTTATTTATTATTTTGTATATACAAAATTAGTTATTCTGTAGAAGCACTTATTTGCATTTTTAAAGAAAGATAACAGTATGTATAAGATTATATAACTTGTTATAAAGAATAATGGAGTAATTAAATATGCATAACAAAATGCATTCTTAGGTTGAATTTGGTCTGCGCTTCAAGTTTAAAGAGTTTTGAAAGTATTAAAAAGTGCACCTCTGCATGAAATGTTTAGCAGGTACTAACACTGACAAAAATACAACTTCATGATAAGTAAGCTACCGTATTTCCCCATGTATAAGCCACCCCTTTTTTCCAAAATTTTCAAGCCCAAAAAGTAGGGGGGTGGCATATACAAAGCAGGTACACTTTTTATACGTGAAAAATGCATAAAATAATAAAGTAGGAATAAACTGGTTTTCCAGCAGTATGCTATACTTTTTTGTAAAAATTGTAAGTGATGATACGATTACGAGTGCGAGTACGCGATAGAAATGCATACGCTAGGCATCGGCCTGAATGCTTCATTCCTACTCTCGTTCCGATGCGTAGATTGCTAGCGTCGCCCGCACCGCTTTCGGCATCATGACCGAAGTTGTAGATCTAGACGTCGAATTTTGTTTCTTTGTAAATTTTCTTTCTTCATAACTTGTTTCTCTAATAAAATATTTTTTTCAAAACTTCACAGTCCAAAAATTGGGGGGTGGCTTATACAAAGGGGGTGCTTATACATGGGGAAATATGGTATGTGTTTATATTCTAAAGAGCCTGTACTTTCTATGTGTTTTTAATGCAACAACTGTCCTATCATGGTGGTACTACAAATTATTTAGCACCATGTTTAAATAGCACATGTGACAGTTTTGCTGTGCTTTTCTTTCATTTGCTAGTATAGTCATATCCAAGCTAAAAAAAATTAATCACAGGAAAGGGTAATTATAAATTCCTCATGAAGTTCATTTATTTTGACACTTTTCTTATAATAAACCTACATTACTGCCTGCAAAATAGAAGTCAGTATGACTGAATGGTGAGGCAGGAAGCCACATTTTCAGGTTGGATACAACAACCATGTTATATAAATATTAAGTAGGTGTCTCCCAATCTTTGAAGTGAGAAGAGAATGATCAAATTTTTGTTCACTCAAAAGCCCTGGAATTTAAACCCTAATACCAACTTTTCTGTAGTGTTCAATCTCTCTCTATTCTGCAGTAGGCAGATTTTTTTTAATGGCATTTACCTTGTCTGCAGGAAATCAACTCAAGGATATTGTGCCTGCAAACTCCTCCTGTAATCTAGTTCCTGAACACTGCCTTCAAAGTCAGGATAACTGAGATTTATTGTTGTACCAGTTGTGAAAACTTATGTCAAATATGAATATATCAGCATGAAATAAACCCACTATTTTGAAAAGAGAATAGCTATCAAAACAGTCTTAATGCTTTTTATTTTTTAAAAAATCCAAAATATATTTGATATGCACAGATTACTGTCGTTACTGTTTTTGTTTTGTTTTATATTTTCTCTTACACTTTTTAAAAAATTGCTTTATTGATAAACATGCTTAAACCTGTTAAGCCAATTAATGTTTTCACACCTGAATTATAATACAAGGATGGTAGGAATTATAGTCCATTATATTTAAAGGAAATATAATCCTAAATTTGGGGGGCTGAAACCTCAAAAACAGTTTTGTTCTCCCACCCCCACCCCTATTTGTACATGGGACAGAACAGTGAAATAATTCTATAGGGATACCTATGAACATTGGTCAGACAATTATCTGGCATTCATTATGATTCCTATTGCAGCATATATATTAAATAATCTTTGAAATCATGGTTTCTGGAATTAGCTTACTTCAATTACCCACAATTTACTCAGTTAATTTTTTATTTGTAAAGATTATGAAGAATGTAAAACTAATGTTGAAGTTTTCAATGTTTTCATAATAGAACTACAGAAGAGCACCAGAAGAGACTTAAGGCCAAATGTAAGGATTATCAATCTGTGGTCCTCAATCCCTTTTTTGTGCCCTTAAAAGCCTTCTCTAAATGCACTGTTATAACTTGGCATGAGGTTGTCAAATTTACTAGTGTACATTCTTACCACATTGAGATAGAAAACAGTACTCTAAAATAGCATCACCTTTTCTTTTAAAAAGAAAATCTGAAAATCACTTCCCAACCTACATACATGATTAATTCTGCCCATAGCAGCAATCCCTCAAAACATTAAATGCAGACTATCAAAATGTTTTCCATGTCTGGTTGAAAATAACATTCCAATTTTTATCCTGCCTCTTTCTTCTTGTCATTGTTTTTTTCTTCCACAATACCTTGCACCAAGCGAGATGGTCGCTGACATCATCAATAGAGAGGGCTATTAATTTAACTTTTCGCTTGGCAAATTCTGGTGCTAATTTTGCTGCTCGACCAAGTTCTGTGGTACACACTGGAGTAAAGTCCCTTGGATGAGAGAAGAGGATGCCCCATCTGAAAGAAAAAGAATCACATGGCAAATAGCATTGAAGCCTACTAAGTCAGAACAGAGTTAAAATGTTATTTCAAAGTTTGTTTACAACTGTGATCTGGAAGGCTGAGAAGAATTGACACTGAATAGCATCTAGAAAGTATATAGTTTGAAATATTTAAATGATTCTGCTTAATTTTACTCCTTTCCCCCTTTTTCTGATTTTTGAGCTCTATAGTTCAATGCACCAGATAAGAAGGGGTTTAAATCCCATATCCTGAATAAAGCCCAATCCTTTGTTTGCTAGGGTTTATAAGATCTAAAATCAAATTTATCTAGAGGACACCTGATTGGAGAAGGCTAGGCCATCCCACAGCAGAATTCTGGAGAGCTAGAAAGCTTAGGTTACTTTAATAATTTTAGCATATCTTTTTTCTCAGAGTTATCTTTGTTCTTTCCATTTGTACTAACCAGCCCCATTATGCAACTCCCAGCATTTCAATACCTTCTCAATTGAAGCATTGCCCAAAGCCAAAGAGATTATAACCTTGGCAGGCTTTCATACTTTTGTCAATAGCTAATGCTACCTCCCACCTCTCTAAACTAGTCTGCCTGCATTTCAACCTCTCTTGGTGGAAATACACATGAACAACATACCCAGACATTTGTCACAATAGAACAATATTCCCAAAATCCTTTGTGCAAGATCCAGCTTTTGTTTGGCAATGTATGAACAATGGTTAAGTCAAATTTGAATAGAGCAGTCAGTTTCAATAAAAGTGGAGATTGCACAGTTACATATATGCTGTAGTTGCAAACTAACTGTCCTGCTTTTGTGATTTTTTAGAAATTAAGCATAATGACATCAAAAATGTTCATGAAATAATCTTCTAAGAGCTGTGGGGTCATTTGAAACAAAACGTTGAAAATTCTACACATTGTTATATAATCCATATGAGAAAAAATGTATTTTGGCTTACTCTGATGTGTGAAACAATCTCAAGTGAAAAATATGATTTATGAAATTATATGAATTAGCAAATGGTTTAGCAAATAGCAATTCAAATGAAGATCTGATTATGACTTTATTCAGTACAAGAACTCAATTTAAAGTTCACGCAAGTTATCAAGGATTTTGTTAAACTAAAGAGTAATTGTTGAAAAGGCTAATATAATTTCCATTCTGTACATTTGTCATCATTTTGAGATTACTTTGGTTTGTTACAAATATCTATGGCTGTGTGGGCGACAAAAGCTGCTGTAATACCATAAATGTTGCAGATAGTACTAATGTAATTTGGAGGCTCAAGCAGAAAAGTAGCAAGGTTAGGACAAATTTGGAAACTCTTAATAGATCATTGTTTCTGGATGCATACTACAACACTGTAAAGCAACTGCTAATAGTTGCTTTAATACTATCATCAAACATAATAGTCAGATGAAGATGTAAATTACATTCACATGCAGAATTTATGCCAGCAAATATAGGAAGCCTCTTGCAATCACAACAAAACAGCAGAGTTTAAGGGACATTGGAGGTCTTCAGGTTCAACCCCATGCTCAAGCAGGAAATCTTATACCATTTCAGACAAATGGTTGTCCAATCTTTTCTTTAAAACCTCCAGTGTTGGAGCACCCACAATTTCTGGAGGCAAATTGCTTCAATTGTTCCCACTGTCAGGAAATTTCTGCTTGGTTCTAGGTTGCTTCTCTCCTTGACAAGTTTCCATCCATTGCTTCTTGTTCTGCCTTCAGGTGCTTTGGAGAATAGCTTGACTTAGTTCTCTTTGTGGCAGCCCCTTAGATATTGGAACACTGCTATTATGTCACCACTAGTCCTTCTTTTCATTAAACTACACATCTCCAATTCCTGCAATTGTTCATGTTTTAGCTTCTAGATTTAGTCCCCTAATCATCTTTGTTGCTCTTTTCTGTATAACATGGATTTCCATGTGAACTTGCTTAGCAGGTGAATATCCATATTCATCTTTCGATATTCCTGAATTTAATATATAATATTCTATCGTATAGCCTTGGCCTATTGCAAAGCTTCATTTTTATTTTAGTTTTTTCCAATTTGGCATTGTCCATGTATATCAAACTTCAAGTTCTGAAACTCTCATCCACCATACCCTTCTCACATTGGCTAAGAACTGCTGAATACCTAGTAGTCTGGAAGTTGCCAAATTGGACTCTAGTCAAGCAGCTGCTCCAAAGGAAAACAAAATTGAGCAACAGGAATCTACCCTTTGCTCTTTTGTCTGTACTTCTGAGAATGAAATGACTTGTCTCAGAGTTGCAATGTAATAGTTAACCTAAGTGATTATATCATTGATTTAAAGAAAGAGTTTTGCATTACCACTATAATGAACAAATGTTGTATTTTATGTATTTCCAGAGTAATTACCTTATTATAATGAAGCATAAATATATTTTTATAAATCCAGTTATAAAACTAACTATTCCAAAATCTATCATGATATATTTCTTAGTCTAATGATTAATACAACCTTGAAAATGACTTCAGTTTTCAATAATCAAAAGAATATACCCATAGAAATGTATGGGTCTAAGTTAGAATGTTCTAACACTAGTGTAAAAAAAGACAGCTCCAGCTCCTAATCCTTACAGGCTTGCTATTGGGACAAATTGAGTCATTTCAATCAATTCATTGTGGTATGCCTTTAATATAGGGAAACTGATCAATTTGAATTTTGCTTATTACCAGATATATGTACCAGCATTTCTTTTAAGCCTCTAGTCTATCTTCTAAGCCAGGGGTGTCAAACTCATGTCGTCATGGCACGTATCCTGACTTTTTTTCCCCTTTGCTAAATTGGGCATGGGCGTGGCCAGCACGTGACATATCCGGCCCGTGGCCAGAAAGTTTGATAGCCCTGTTCTAAGCAATCAAATTAAAAGTCATCATTTTGCTCAAACTGTGGTTAGCAGCTTTGAAAAAACCAATTCATCAAAAATTATAACCAGGTTTCTGGGCCAGGCAAACCAAAAAATGGTGATTACAAGGCTTGATGGGACTGTGTGTGCTCTATAATCAAAGCTTGTCACAGATTAAATTGTGATTTTTTAAAATAAATCCCAAATGGCCATCAGATTATACAGTAAACTTATAACATTCATTACTTTGACTAGGAAGTGAGGAGCAAAATGGCAGCATTTTTGCTAACTAGACCTTTTGGGTTAGCTTGAAGGACAATAGCACAAGTGTTTTCACAAAAGGGTATGAAACTAAAGGGCCTTCATTTTTTAAAGTATCTACACCTTTTCCTGGGATGCATGGATAAATCCACAGAAAAGATACTCTACTTTTAAAAAGTTATAGTAATAGTTATGTTCTCCTTCCCCCCTTTTGAAACTGAATCTGAAGCACTGCCTAATGTATATGTAACACTACCTTCTCAAGTGGATAATGTATGCATCTAATGAAAGATTATGATCCAAAACTTAATACATTCATTAAGCTCATACAATAAAAGAAACCAATTGAGACCTAATTGGGACCTACAAAATCAATATACCTAGTACAGTATTCTAAGATTTTTCCCCAGATTCCAAAGAAAAGCTGCCCAACTCTAACCACAAAAATAGATAATACCTCAATCCTTCCTTGTCCCATGGGATTTTTTTTAACTCTTTTTTTAAATATCATTGTTATTTACAAGAATAGGGCTCTGAGACTTTTGTTAGAAAATAAAAATAAGGAACATGTTTGCCCAGCGCTTTCCTGGAAATCTATCAATTCACTCAAGAAAAAAGAACAAGAAAAAAATTAAGATAGGGCAGTAGAGAACATTTTGCAGACATGGAAGAGGCTGGGAATAATCTTACTAGTTTGCATTCTAATAAACGGCTGTTCTGCAACTGACCACATTTACCATGGTAACTACTTATTGAAGAGGCATTCCCTCCGTACAGCAACCATTATGTAAGAGGTATTTCAACATTCTCAAAATTCCAAATGTGTCTCTAATAATTCAAAGAGATTGGCTACTTTGAGTCAACAGTTATTGTGATATACAGTACACCCTAAATGTGACTAAGCACAGCATGTAGAGTAGCTGCACTTCATGCTATGGAATACATTTAATTAGAAGGATAGAAGAATAAAGGTTAAATTAAGAAACTCTGAAGATCCCAAATTAAGACCACTGTACCCGCTTACCAAAAGCGTAGCACAGGAAAACTTTGCCAAGGACTATCTGATCCACCATTCAGTTCATTTTTGTGGACAAAGCGTTTCAGAAAATTCAAAAGGATGTGAACAATATAATTTCTGAGCATATATTCTCAGTAATTTACTTAAAGGTTTCTGAGAATTTATAGCTAGTTGATATATTCTTTTGAAAGCCACATTTTGTGACAATAAATACTGTACAATAAACAAACTGTGCAATGCATGAATGATTTTCTCTTTGAACTTTCTGCCCACCAGTTTAAATGGGACTCTTTATTCCTACCTTAGGAAGAAAGAATATCCACTTCTTTTACATTGTACATATTTCAATAACCAATTTATTATTTCATTGTTAGAACTATTTATATTCCACCTTTCATGTAGGTTATAAGCCATACAGAAGATAGATGGTTAAAGGCACAACAATTCTGTTTGGCAGGAGAAAGGAGGAACAGAATCAAAATTTTCTCTCTTTTTCCTCTCCTTGGAGTTAATTAGTTAAGGAGAGATAACCCCTTCCTCCACCCAAGACTGTTTCCACGAAGATGCTGCAGCCCTTTTAATTGCTCTAGTGCCATTGATTACCTTGGTAGGCTCTTTTTCCACCTGTGGTAGCTGCTCTAGCCAATTCTCCCACAAATGAAAGGAGCAAAGTGTCT